TCTCTGCGGGCTCGAAAGTCTCGGCACGGCGCTTGGGGTCGGGCACTTCACCACCGAGTTGGTCAAGGTTGACGATGAGGGCCTCGGCCTCCACGATAGCCTTGGCGTACTTGATGCATTCGACGTCGCAGTCGTATGCATGCTCGTACGTGGACTCGATGGTGATGACGCCGTTGGGGCCCGGCATCTTGAGCTTGAGGTAGGTCTAGTTCGAGACCGCCATGAACTTGGCGTAGCACGGGCGCCCTAGGATAGCGTGGTAGGTCCCCTTGAATCCAACCACCTCGAAGGTGAGGATCTCCTTGCGGTAGTTGGAGGGAGTGCCAAAGTAGACCGGCAAGTCGATGCGCCCGAGGGGTCACGTGCGCTTCCCCGGCACGACGCCGTGGAAGGGTGCGGCACCGCCTCGGAGCCGTGACTGATCGAGCTCTAGGAGCTCCATGGTGTTGGCGTAGAGGATGTTGAGGCTGTTACCTCCGTCCATCAGTACCTTGGTGAGCCAGGTGTTGCCGATGATCGGATCGACGACGAGAGGGTACTGCCCGGGGTTTGGGACATAGTTGGGGTGGTCCTCCCGATCGAAGGTGATCGCCTCCCGAGACCAGTTAAGGTACTAGGGAGTAGCTACCTCAACCGAGAAGACCTCCCAACGTCCCCTCTTTCGTTGATGCACCATGAGGCACGCTGAAGGCCCACCGAAGATCATGAAGGCATTGTGCACCTCGGGGAACCCATCATCCTTGTCGTTGTCTCCGTCGCCGGTGCCCTTCTTCCTAGCCTCGTCGTTGGGGAGCCCAAGCTTGGCGTAGTAGTGTCGGAGCATGGTGCATTCTTCGAGGGTGTGATTTACCGGGCCCTGGTGGTAAGGGCAGGGCTTTTTGAGCATGTCGTCGAATATTCCGAGGCCTCTGACGGGGCCTCGAGGGTTCTTGCGATCAACGGCTGCGACGAAATCGGCCTCGAGGGCCTCTAGCTTCCCTGGGCGCCCCTTTTTCTTTTTCTTCGAGAAACAGGAGGCCGAGGCCCCAGGGGTCTCGTCCCTCCGCTTCCCCTTTGCGTCGCTGTCGGGGAAGATGGCCTCGACAGCCTCTTCGCTCGAGGCGAAGTTGGTGGCGATATCGAGGAGCACGGCCGCTGAGGTTGGTACGTTCCGGCCTAACTCTCGGACCAGGTCTCGGCAGGAGGTGCTAGAGAGAAAAGCCTAGACAACTTCCGAGTCGCCGACGCTGGACAACTCGGTGCACTGCTTGGAGAATCACCGGATGAAGTCTCGGAGAGACTCGTTCGGCTTCTGGCGACAACTCTTGAGGTCCCAGGAGTTCCCAGGGCGCACGTACGTGCCCTGGAAATTTCCGACGAAGATCTTTACCAAGTCGCGCCAGTTGTGGATCTGCAAGGGAGGGAGGTGTTCGAGCCAGGCTCGCGCTGAGTCCGACAGGAACAAGGGGAGGTTACGGATGATGAGCAGGTCATCGTTCGTGCCGCCTAGCTGACAAGCTAGGCGGTAATCGGCCAGCCACAACTCGGGGTTGGTCTCACCGCTGTATTTTGCGAGGTTGGCCAGTTGTCGAAATCGGGCGGGGAATGGGGTGCCGCGGATGGCCTTGCTGAAGACTCGAGGGCCAGGCGGCTCATGAGAAGGACTGTGGTCCTCGCCACTGTTGTAGCGGCCGCCTCAGTGCGGGTGGTAGCCTCGGGCGGGCCCATCGTCGTCGTGGCGTCGTCGCCTGCTGACCACATCGTGGTCGTCTTACGCCTCGCGTCGGTCGCTGAGGCGGTCGTGCACTGAGGGGGCCTTGAGGCGATCGTGCACCGAGGGCCATTTCGAGGTGTCTCCGCGCCGTCGAGATGCGGAGCTTTTGGCCTGCTGTACCGTGGCGGTCTCGAGAAGGTCTCGGAGCTCGCCGTGAACCCGATGCCCCTCCATGGTAGAGGGCTCGGGCATCGCTCGGACTAGCATCGCCGCTGTCGCGACGTTCTGGCTAGCGCGATTGAAGATTGGGGGTTGCTCACTTCCTTCGTCGTTGTTGATGCGGCGGTGCACGTCGTGGGCCCTCCGCCGGGCCCTTCCGCCGTCACCGTGACCTCGCTGCTCCTGCTCGAGAGTGTCGCGGAGCTGCTGCAGCAGGAGTCGGTCTTGGTCGACTTTTGCCTGGAGCTCACGGAGCTGCTCCAGTTCCAGGCATCGAAGTTCCTCGAGGGCGGTGTTCACGTTCCGTGCTGCCCGAAGCTCGACGAGCGGAGGCGTGGCGTCGCTCGCCCCTTGGCGGAGCGGGAAGCAGTTGCCCCTTCACTCTCATTACTTGCCCCTGGCATTCCGAGCCCGATGTGGAGACACTCTCGAGTGGGATCATAAGTGCCTTCGTCATCAGAGTCGAAGTAGCCGAAGCAGTAGTCGCTTGCGGCCAAGAAGCGGCGCATAGCCTAGAGAAGTCCGCTCCGGCCCATGCCTCGTCCTCCTCTGAGGAGTCAGCATGGGTGTGGGTCGAGGTTATGGTGGAGAAGTCGAGGGCGAATCGTTGGTGGCATCCCGGGGGCTCTGCGTGCGCGGAGGCGTAGGTGAAAGCGTAGGTGGCGGCGATGTTGTTCAGCCTGAAGGGATACGGGGATGGTGCCACCGCTGGGTTCCGCTCCGCCTGAGTCGATTCCTCAGGATGTGGCGGGGCAGAGCTTGACGATGGGACGTCGCTGCGCGCCACCGTCGTCTTTCCCCTGCCCAAGCTTAAGCTAGACAGGTCCCCAGCCAGGGACTCTATACCAACAGCCGGGCATGGGATGCCGGCGGAGTGCGGCGCGCTGCCCTGAGCTCGTGCGGTGTCGGGGTAGTCCCGCTCGCGTCGTGCCTGGCGAGCGCGATGAGAGCGGCGGCCCGGGCGCCGCCTGCGCCCGGGCTGCGGATGCGTGACGTCGTCGTCGGTTGGGGGGGCTCTGGGTGTGAGGAGTACCATATCGTACTCACATCCTAGAGACATGAACTCTAGGCTCCCAAACCAGACCACCGTGCCGAGACGTAGTGGACGTATGGGGTCAGCCATCCGGAACTTGTTGGGACGATCAAGCTAACACGCAGAGGCCCCTACCTGGCGTGCCAACTGTCGGTGTTTCGGACCGAGGGGTCCTCAACCAACTAGTAAATGTGAACTGCGTGCCCCTAATCCCGGATGGTGATGCAAAGAGACACAAGGTTTACACTAGTTCAGGCAATCAATGCCCTACATCCAGTCTGAGAGATCGATCTTATATTCCTTGCACCGAAGTGCTTATAGTAGGGGGTTACAAGCTGGGTGAGAGAGGGAACGGGTCCCAGGTCTCGGCGTGGAGCGATGCGGGCTGCTTGAGACGTTGCTCTCAGGCAGCTTGGGAGAGTGTGTGTCTACGTGAGCCCATCTCCGTGAGCTCGTGAGTGCCTCGTCCTTTTAAGAACGGCCCCGGTCTCCCCTTTTATAGTTGAAGGAGGGACAGGGGTGATACATGTGTTCGCCATGCGGCGAGCGGAGGTGGCGTGCTGGAGTCCTATAGCTTACTACTGTAGCGGCATGGTCAACGGAGTGGTCTTGTCCTTGATGTACTGGAGCAACGCGCCGGTCACACCCGATCTCGTATGACGTGGGCGCTCCAGTGACAGCTTGATGCAGGGCATGGCCGACGATGTGTTGGTCGCTATGGGTTGACGGTAAAAAGAGCCGAGGCTCAGTTGGTGCCGAGGCCGAGCCATCGTGGGGAGCTCGGTGGGCGCGAATCCCGAGGCTGCCGAAACCTTGAAGTGGATTGCCGAGGCCTTGGAGGGAGCAGTTGGTCTCATGCACCGATTCCGAGGCTACAGTGACCCGTGCCTGCTTCCCCATGCCGTGCTGCTCCTGGAGCAGGAATTAGGTAGCACAGTGCAGTATGGGTGCCAGGCATGGGTGCAGTGCTGAGCACAGTGGCCGGTAACCCCTGTTCCGTCCTGTCTCACGTCCCGTCGGCCACCCTGCTGTACTGCGCCCACGTGCGGCTGACGTCACGGGAGTGGTTGGACGCGTGACGTTTTGTCAGAGAAGTCGGTCGAGGCGGAGGCGACGAGGTTGTTGCCGAGCCGGCCTCAAGCGAGTCGAAGAATCGGTACTTCATCCGAGGCTTCACTCGCTGGGTCTCGGGCGAATCGGAGAATCGGTAACCCGTCCGAGGCCTTACGGAGCGGGGCCTCGGCACGAGAGGGCCTCGGCGAGGCGGAGAGTCGTCGTGACGCGGGCTTCGGGCAAGTCGGAGAATCGGCCGAGACCCTGTGATTGTCTTTTGGCTTTGATATTTGCGAGGTTTTAAACGATTTTTTCGGTTCTTGCTTAGAGTACCCCTTTTTATGGTATCCGACAATTTGTATCTCTATAAGTTTATTATGAAATTAGATTTAAATATATCTAATATTACTAATTATATATTATAAATATTAATATTTTCTTGTATATATTTTGTTAAAGTTGAGAGCGTTTGACTCTTCGAAAACGAGAACAATATTTACTATGAGACGGAGGGACTCTTGCATTTACGAGACTGTTCGCTTTTGCTAAACTACAGCTATTCCAAAGGTTTCATCTCTTCAATCACTCCCGCAGGCAGCTGCCGAACACCCCACGCCTATATGTTTTAAGTCCCTCTCTCTCTCTCTTTTAATAATTTAACATGGTTTCGTTTCAGCCACCACACCAGAGAAAAGCACCCATATGCTACGCATAGACGCACAGTTTGAACTCTACCACAGCACACACGTACAAGTACACGCTTTCAACGACCAACGGAGCGTTGTACACGTACACGGCACGACGAGTACGTGTTCTTGCACCTTCTAGCACATACATGTGAGTTAACGTACCGACTGTGGACACGCGGCGCTAGCGCTACTGATCGAGTGCAGTAGTAGGACATACATGCGAGTTAACAGTACCGATCACCATCTCATAGTATGTTTACCGACAGATAACAACAATGGACAACCGTCGATCTCAGATGATATTATCCTCAAGCTAAGCAAGCGCCAGGCGCCTTCTCTTGACCGTTGCCATGAAGCCATTCTTCATGTGAAGTATGATGGACAGCTTGGGCTCCACGACGTGCCCCGGCACTGCCTCCACGTCGAAGTTGCTGACCACGGCGGCCGCCGCCGCCTTGAGCTGCACGAACGCCATGTCCTTGCCGAGGCAGGTCCGGGGCCCCGAGTTGAAGGACATGAACCTGTACGACGGCACGTACCGCACCCTGCCGTCCTCCGCAATCCACCGCTCCGGCCTGAACTCCCGGCAGTCGCTGCCCCACACGTCCTCCATCCTCCCCATCGCGTACAGCCACACCAGGATCTTGTCCCCGGGCCGCACCTCGTACCCGCTCGGCAGCACGTCCGCCGCCGCCGCCTCCTTCAGCTCCTGCGGCACCGGCGGGTACAGCCTCAGCGACTCGCACAGCGCCGCGTGCAGGTACGTCAGCCGGCTCAGCTCGTCCGGGTCGTCGAAGGTCACCATGCCGCCGCCGTCCGCGTCAGCGGTGCTGCTCTTGCTCTTGACGGACTCCAGCTCCTGCCGTATCTTGGCCACCACGCGCGGGTTCCGCGTCAGGAGGTAGAAGAACCAGGACAGCGCCGAGCCCGTCGTGTCGCGGCCGGCCAGCATGAGGTTGATGGTCGTGTCGCGCAGGAACTTATCCACCGCAGTGTCCTCGTCGTCGTTTATGTAGGACGACAGCAGGTCCGCCGAGTCCCTGATGCCGTGCCTTGCCTTCTCGGCGCGCCGCTTGGCGATCGTGTCGGCGACGAACTGGTCGATGGTGCGCCACGCCTCCGCCATCTTGCGCTCGTGCCCGATCCGGAGCCTCCTCGCCAGCTTCCACCACGTCATCGGGACGACGTGGCGGAGGAGGAGCACGTTCATGGCGTCGTCCATGGCGCGCGCGAACGGCACCTCCGGCAGGCCGACGGACAGGCACCCGGGGTCGACGCCGAACACCAGCGTCGTCGTGGTATCGAACGTCAGCCGGAGGAACACGTCCTGGAGATCGAACGCCTTCCCTGTGCTAGCGAAGTGGGAGAGCAGCGGGAGCAGGGCGGTGTCCACCTTGGCGCGGCTGTACCGGGACACGAAGGCCCGGAACGAGGCGCTGGACATGAGCAGCTGCGCCTTGGCGCGCTGGCGGCGCCACGACTCGCCGTCCGCGTTGAAGATGCCGCCGCCGAGGACGTCGAAGATCTCCTCGAACTCGGGGCCCTTGGGGTAGTTGGCGAAGTTGGAGGTGAAGACGTGGCGAACGTTGGCAGGGTCGGCGGTGACGAAGAACTGCATGCCGGAGCGCGGCGGGCCGGTGAAGAGGAAGTTGAGCGGGCTGGCTACCAGGAGGGAGGTGATCCAGTCGTGGAGGTGGTGGAGGTTGCCGAGGAGGGCCGGGAGCATGCCCACCAACGGCCAGTCCAGCGGGATGGCAGGGTTCTTCCGCTTGGATCTGATGTGGAAGTAGTAGAAGACCACGAAGCAGAGGAAGGAGAGGCAGAGCTCGAGGAAGGAGACCCACGGCGACGCCATTGGTTGCCTCTTACTGTACTTGCCTATGCTGAGGAGAACTTGTCGAACTGCCAGTGGCTATGCCGCAATGGGGATCGATCATGCGGACGTATGCTACAGGCTTTTTAATACGAGTGGAGATGAGGTGAGAAATAGCCGAGGAGTGACGACTGGATATTGTGGTCTTGAGGTTACACCAGACCAGTTGATTGCTTTCTGTCAGTGTCACCGCCGTCACATTTTCCACGGAGGTCGGGATGTGTAGCAAACTACTCCCTCCGTCCCAAAATAAAAGACGTTCTCGCTTCCCGAGAAACGACTGCCGGCAATTATATATTAAAATATATAAATATTTATGCTAAGTAATTAGTATCATCGAAAAGATCTTTTTGTCTAGTTTTTTAACAAATTTATTTGAAGATATAAATATTGCACGTATTTTCTACGAATCGAGTCAAACTTGTGGCACGAAAACCCAAAACATCTTTTATTTTGGGACAGAGGGAGTACATCGTAGGCGTGTTTGGTAGAGATCGTAGCGTAGCTTTCACAAAGATATTTTGTCACTTTTTGACCAAACGGATCCCAGGAAACAGCTTCGCCTCATAATCTCCGGAATACACGCTCTCACAAAGCCGAAAGTAGGGGTGAAGTTGAAAAAACAAGCTTCTCCCCTCTCACCGCCACTCTCCTGAGCTCTAGCACCGCTTGGGGCGGATTTGCCCCCGGGCCGACGGGAGGAGGATAGGGTGCGCGGGCGCTAAGCCCCCGCTGCGCCTGCCGGCATACTGGCCCTGCTCGCTTTCCCTGTTCGCTTATCTTATGATCCGTCTTTTTTAGCTTGTTTTTTAGTCGAAACAGTGTTTTTTCTCTCACAACAAATCAATCGAAACAGTGTTTCGGCTTGTTTTTTCAGCGAAGTGAATGGGGCCAGAGGGGTGTGGGGTGCAGACGTGCAGGCGCCGATGTGGACAGGGGCACGTGTTCACCAGGGCGCCGTCGCGGGGGTGGAGTGGCCACGATAGCAGAGCCCGACCTGTGCGGGATTAGAGGTCGGCCAGCGTTGGGGCAGAGCCCAGCATGGGAGCGAAGTCCCGGCGCAGTGGCGGGTCGCCAAGGACGAGGGTGGCGAGGACGACGGCGCGGGGATGGGTCGTCGAGGACGAGAGTGGATGTCGGCGCCAGGGACGAGGTGGGCGTGGTTCGTTTGGGGCTGCGGGCGGCAAGTACCGCGTGAGCGAATAAGGGGGAAGGAAAGAGGGAAAGCAAAAAATAAAATAAAATAAAATACAAAAAAAGATACCGGTATTATGGGTACTCCACTATTTTACACACCAGGTGAAGCTAATTTATCAACCGATTTACCAAAACAGATTCAGTTCTACCACCAAAGTTGTTTTTCGAGTCAAAGCCAAAAAAAAAAAACTGATTCAACAACGAAGCTGAGCTATATAGGACAGGTATCCTTCGCCTGCATGTCATTCCAAAACCAGCACGGTAACACTTTTTCTCTGCACATTGCACTTCTATGGCATACTCAAGAAAGACTGCGAGAGACAACCAATGGAGCCTTGGGTCTCCTCTCCTACCACGAGCTCTCCCTCTGCTCTACTTCGTAGTCTTTTTTTTAGAATTGCTACAGAACACTCGGTTGTTTTACGCGCTCTCAACACACGATTTCCTGGCAGCCGCGGGGATGGGCGGGGGCTAGGTCCGGGTCGCGGCGCGGCGGAGGCGGCGCTCCGGTCCAGGACGCGCGCGACTGCAAGGCGAGGACGCGTCCTCTGGGCAGGGTCGCGGCGTGGCAGAGGCGGCGGTCGCGGCTACTGTGTGGCGGCGAGCAGCTGTAGGACGGCGGCGGTGGTGCGCAGCTGGCCGGGGAGGAGACGACGGCGACCTGCTGCTGCGCGGGGAATGGGGTCGCGGCTGCCGGCATAACGGCGCTCCTCCTCGAGCTCCGCGGCTAGGTCCAGCAGCCGCCTCTGCTGCGCCTCGACATCAGGCTGTGGCTGGGGTTGGGCCTGTGGTAGGGTTTTCTCTGACATCTGACATTTATTTGTCAACAATTTAATATATATTTATCTAATATCTATAATTTATAGAAATAATTTATATTTTTTAAAAAAATTACAGATTATTTCCACGAGATGTGCAATCTATAGAAATAGAAATTGTCTTATCTCCAAATTACATCACTGTATGATAAATTACAATGAAGGAATCAATGTAAATATAGTAATAAAACAATGTAAATATAGCTAAAAGACATTGTAAATTCATGGGAAAAAACCAAATGAAAAGAGTTTCTAAAACACTCAGGGGGTGATTGGTTCCACGGACTAAATTTTAGTCCATGTCACATCGGACGTTTAGATGCTGATTAGGAGGACTAAACATGAGTTAATTATAAAACTAATTACATAGATGGAGACTAATTTACGAGATGAATTTATTAAGCATAATTAATCTATCATTAGCACATATTAACTGTAGCACCACATTATCAAACCATAGACTAATTAGGTTTAAAAAAATTCGTCTCGTAAATTAGTCGCAATCTGTGTAATTAGTTATTTTTAATCTATATTTAATACTTCATGTATGTGTCAACATCCGATGAGACATGGACTAAAACTAGATCTAAGTAACCAAACAGGCCCTCAGTCGTTGCTAGACAAATCCTTTTTTCTCTTTGAGCATCCTTCGTAGTCTTTTTGGTCCGTAGATGACTAAAATATATCCGAATGTCATATGTTTTATTTTCACCTCTCCCTCTCCCTCTCCCTCTTCTTTTTTTTATACTCCCTCTCCCTCTTCTTGGCTAAGTAGTGTCTGACTTTTTTTTTCTTCCGAAATGAGGTTCAGTCTTTCCCCCCTGGCTCGTGGAAGCATGGAGTTCCTTCGATGTTTTGGTGTTTATATGCCCTGCTTCTTCGCTCCGCCGTTGCGTCCTGCTAACTTACTGCTATTTCTGTTAAGCCACGTGAAGGAGCAAACAGTTGCAGATCACCGGGCACCGGCACCACATGACATATTTCTGACATCTCATGCCCTAACAACTGGTTCCTAAACTCTAGGCCACCAGGATTCGAACAGGAGGGCTAACGGATGAGCTAAAATTTAGCTAAAACCCCTGACTAATTGTTAGTTTACTAGTTCTTTAAATCCAGCTAACAAAGACTAAAAGTGCTACAGACATAAAAAAAATGGCATCTTTATTCTATATTCTGTCTCTAGCCAGGTGAGAGAGAAAAGGTACGAGGAGGGTATTTTTTGTCTGGAGCTATTTTTTAGCTGAGGATCCAAACAAGCAAGGGGTAACAACTAGTTTGCTAACTTTTAGCTGGCTATTTTTTAGCCATGACTAACAACTAGTCCATGGGTCCATAATCTTATATAAATCAGGAAGATGTCCATTTCACAACACACCCCCTCTTAACTATCCCTAGCTCAATTTTCCACCATAAACCATAAACCAAATATTTTACACCATAAAGGACATGTTCGCTTGTCTTATAATCCGTACTTTTCGGCTTGTCTTTTCAGCCAGAACAGTGTTTTTCTCTCACAATAAATCAGCCGAAACAGTGTTTCAGCTTGTTTTTTCAGTGAAGTGAATGGGGCCAAATTGACCAATACTGTGGAATTGATATCGTACCTGGCCATGGTTTTTATGGCAGTTCACATGACGTGTTGGTGGGTTTCCACGTGACAGGTTAGTAGTGCCATGCGGTCATATTGATCTTGGAGAGAGTGGGGGGGGGACTAAAGGGTGGATTGCAGTCGCTCCACTTATCGACCAGCCAAGCAGTGGCAGAGCGTGGAGATGAAACAAGGGGGGGGGACAAAATTGTCTGGTATCAACGATACATAGGTTATGCTCTTTTTAGTATAACAAATTATTTTTGCAGACTCTTATGTTTTCACTAAAAGAACTTCAAGATTCTATTCTTCTATATATATGCTAGCTCATCATTGAACTTAAGCTAGATTTGTGTTGTAAACTTTAAAAATTGAAGTCGTATGCAATAAGCAAATTGTATCTATTTCCCCACTAATAGCTAGCAGGCAGTAACAAATTAGCAATAAATGTAGCAACTAGCTTTCTTTCTTCTATAGCAACTAGAGAAGGATAGTATATGCAAGTGCAAGAAGGAAGGGCAAGTGTGTGTGTGTGTGTGTGTAGACACACACAAGTGTGCAAGAAGGGGGCGGGGCAGAACCCAAGTTGGCCTCCAAGAGGCTCCGCCAGTGCAGCCAAGGCCGAGCTTTGAGGAACTCCCGTTAGCAGGGTTGAAAGGTCGAGATGACTAGGGTTGTGTAATTGGTTGCACGGCAGCACGAGGCACAACAAAGCTCATTTGTATTGGAACCCAACAAAAGATTGATCTCTACTGCATTCAAATCGATGTCTTCCCTAATGGGATCGAGATCCTTCCTTCCTAAATTGGTGCCTTCCTTAAAGGACCTCGAAGATTGAAGCTCCGCATGGATAAGCCTAGGGCTAGTCTCAATGAGAATTTCATAGATATTAAATAAGTAGACAGACACAGTATAAATAAAGAGAGAGGTGTTAAAAGTTTTATAGGATAAAATAAGTTTTATGAGGATCAAAGTTGTTTACACTCACTAGTAGAGAAACGACTTTTGATCCACTTCAAAATTTGGCTTTAGTCCCGGTATTTTTCGCGCCCGGGACTAGAGAAACCTTTAGTCCCGGTTGGTAGCTCCAATCGGGACTAAAGGTCCCTGCCTAATGGCTATTGCGGCAGGCTTTTGCTGCAGGGGACCTTTAGTCCCGGTTGGATCTACCAACCGGGACTAAAGGTTAACTTTTACTCCCGGTTGGACCCGGTTGGTCCCTCCAACCGGGAGTAAAAGTCTACTCTCAGCTGGAGGCTCCGTTCGGGACTAGAAAGGGACCTTTAGTCCCGGTTGGTGTCTTCAACCGGGACTAAATGTCCTCTCCTATATACCCCTTCTTCCTCCCCGAGTCCGAGCCACTTCGACCTCAGTGTTCT